CAGCCAGGTATTCCAGATTCTAACATGCATGCTGCGTCGATCTGGTAGTCATATAGTGTGCACATCCTCAACGCTTGGCTGCCGACATCCAACAGGGTTCTGACATTCCAGGATCCAATGAATAGTGGCTTCCGGGGATTGAGGGACCTAGCTAGCTTACTTGTCACTCTGGCCAATGAGTTAGCGCAGAGCGCGTCACGTTCGTTTAATTATGCTTATTACACCTGCAAAGCGACCGATTTAAATTGACGACCACACTTCTATAATGCTCATTAAGTGCAACTCATATACGCACGTTGCCCAGTGGTCTGGGGACAACAAGCGACTATGAATAGACCATACGGATTAGCTCACTTGGCAGCGTACAAGGTCCGGACTCTAGGAGAAATGTGTCAACAGCACGCACATTTGCGTCCGCGGCACCATTAGCGTTGATGCGTGCCGTGTAGTGGAAGCTAATATTTATTCATTGTTCTGCAACGAATAAACTGTAAGCAACGCATCCTCTCGCCACTGGTTAGACCAATCTGAGGTGGACAAGGCCATCGTAATGAGGCTGGACCTTACCGTGGTGCGATGGTTTGTGTGCCTCAGCGATCTATTGAGCTATACTGGGTGGTGCTTTCGAACCTTCAGAGTCACTCATACCAGATTGGTCAATAGTTACAGGCCAGACAAACTCAGCCTCCTGGTCCTCCAGGTTAGGAGTTGGAATGAGGGTGGCACCTTATTCCTTAAAACGGACTCCTTGTAGCCCAACGCCAAACCCACTGCCTTGCGGTCAGGTGTTTGAACCAAAGGCTTTGGTTGAGAACCCTAATCGTTCTCCTGTCTAGGCCTGGGCAACCTGACAGTATCCTGCCCACGCAATACTATGAATCATTCGCCAAACAATTTCTTGATGCTCTGGCCACCGCAGAGGATAATCAACGGTGCTCTATCTGCTGCATTGAGCAGCGTGGATAGGGATTTGGATGCTACTGCTCAAGCCTTCCCATCTTCTTATTCCCCTTCTTACGCTTTTTCACTGTTACTGTCCCCTTCCAACTTCACGTATATCACACCAGCTTTTAACTCCCCAATTCTTGGCCCTCCCCCAACATGCTTTGCTAGGCATGTGAGTTGAAATTAGAAGATAAATCTTCTAATTTCAACTCACATGTGAACGCGGAGCGTCATTCCTCTCCTGTCGACAAGCCCATGTCCAACCAAGCGGTCCATTCCAGTTCACCGGCTTCCATTTGCAACCTTCGATCCTCCTTCAGATTGGCATGCCTCAATTTTCGCACATTGCTGTATATCGGTCAACAGGCAGCACTTGCCCGAACATTGGAGACCCTCTCGGTCGATATCTGCGGCTTATCAGAGACCCGCCTGCAAGACTCGAGCTCTGTGGTCACTCTGCGATCCCCTTCAGGTGACGCAAGCAGTGTTTTCTCGTTGCGCCTATCCGGTGACGATGCAGCTCCGAGCACCAGGAAAGCCGGTTTTGGTAACGCCCTGAGTCCCCCGGCTGAAGCTGCTCTGGTTGTTTGGATTCCAATCAGTAGCCGGATGTGTGCGGTCCGATTGGCTGGCCCATTCAAAGGTTCGAAGTCGTGCGGGACTAATAGGTGACTATTCGTCATCGCTGCCTACGCACCCACAAATTCTAGCGATGATTCAGTAAAGAACGACTTCTACCGCAAACTGACCCAGCTCTTTCGCCACAGAAGAAGCGCGGACACTGTTGTGTTGGCGAGGGATCTGAACGCACAAGTTGGAAAGTTGTCCACTGATGAAATGCATCTGGGCAGTCAGCATAGTGTAGGCTCCCGTAAATGATAACGGTGAGTGCTTACTTCATTTGCGTTACGATGCTCGCTTATTTCTTGCGAGCACTAACTTCCGACACATCACCCGCCGGAGGGTGACTTGGCGCCCACCAGCCTCGAACCAGCCTTTGACGCAGATCGATCACACTGCGATAAGTTACCGATGGAGAGGCCACGTCCAGAACTGTCGCTCGATTTGGAGCACATGTGTGGACACTGATCATGCACTTGTATGTGCTGACATGCGGGTGCGTTTTGGCGGACGCCCACGACGACGCTGTAAGCGCATCGACACCAGCCAACTGACAAAGCCAACTGTTCTGAATGTGTATCGAAGAACGCTGACATGCGAATTGAGTAAACGCTAACAGGAGACAATTGATGGTCACTGATCACATGTTCGCCAGACCTTACTAGCAGCAGGAAAATCCTCATGTGGTAAGTCTAATCGCCAACATGGACATTGGGTCTCTTCGCAGTTTCTGGAACTTATCGACGTTCGCCGGCATATTCCGGCTGGAAGCGAACACAATGAAACTCAAAAAGAGCTCCGGGCAAGACTCCGTGCTAGCCTGAAGAGAGACCGCGAATCCTGGTGGTCTCATCGTGCAGGATTAATAAAGGTAAGTATAGGGAGTGATGCTGGAGGCAGTCTGCGTGCGGTTGCAGCCTGTTTTAACCGACTACGTATCTGGTGTTACGACAACGACTTTTGCTATGACATTACATGGTAGTAGCAGATCAGATAAAGTCCCAATTGAAGATATGTATACGAAATGTTGGGATATACATGGAACCGGCCGAGAAGTCAGGGTGTCAGACATGAATGTGCAAATAGGTCGTTTGCACTCCTACGAAAACCATCTAAGTAGTAGGTTCGAGCGTCTGTTGTAACTGTACGCCGAGCAACTGTAGTTTTAAACCAACGATGCCTTCGAACACAATGAGCGCCAAGGTGAAACTTGTCGTGCTGCAATTCAAATGATGTGTCGTTATAAATGCCGTGCAATGGGGTTTCATCTGTAACCTCCGCTTATTTCACAACGTGCATGTGTGGACTCTGGTTATGATACAGTTGTCCGCCGTCTGTGATACCACATAGGACTAATCATGAGCGGTCCATGAGGTAGGCGCGATTGTTGCTAACTCTTTGGTCAGCTAGAGGCGCGTAGTAAGTGCCAGAATAGATTGATGCACACTGGCTCCAAGTAGGATCCGTGACCACGGTATAGTAGCCACAGTCAGTACAAGAAACACGCAGAACACTGCATCGTGTTCACACCCAATCTTGTCATGCACTACCTTGTAAAGATTCCGACAATAGTCAAGCTGCCTGGAGGTTGTGACAGTTTGTTCGGGCACAAGTGTGAGATCTCGTTCTGAGTTTCAGCATTCATTCCCAAAGCAGAACGGGTGAGCTAAGACACTGGATAAAAAAGTGGCAATTAATGAACCCAAGTACCTACACCAATGGGACGGTGGCTAGCGACATATACTCAGTTAATATCCACTACGATGGCCCAAAAAATAGGCCACAGTTAAACGAGATGTGTCACCAATGGATCTGCCGAAGGATAGACTTTCCGCGTACTTTCGAGGTAGTAAATTAGGGCAAGTCACAGTTGATTTCAGACCGGCCAACACTCCAGTAATTTACTTATACGTGATGCGCCTCAAAAGAGGGAGACGTCAGCGGTACCAGAGGTGAGTCGCACCTAGGCTTCGTTGATACGCGGTCATCACTAGCCGCGCGTAGACTGGGGATACTCTGACGTCGCGAGCATCTGCTCAGATTCGAACCGGTGGTAGTTGGGTAACGAAGTAGACATTACGGCCACCGGACGAAAACAGCGTGCGACAAGGGCGGCGGTTAGTCATGGCCTTGGAGATGAGTGGAGAAAGGCATCAGCACACTGAACCGAGGCTCCGCTGCCGCGTGATCCCAAACAGTCGTGCGTGAGCTGGGCATATCGCAGGGTCGTCCGCACCTACGCAGATTCGGACCGGTGACCTTCGGATTAAAACAATGGCGCGTAATCATTACGGCCGCCGGCAGACATAAGTGGAGAAATCTATTACACTATCGACTACCGGCTAATGAGGAAAACGCCGAAGAGTTGCCGATGAAAAGTACAGGTGAACAACTGCTGATGCAACAGGTTTAAGATGACAGCGAATCTCACCTGGAACCTACAGGTGCATCGATAATAAAGCTGGGAAACACGGTTGATAAGTGGCTAGCGTATTGATTCACAGTAATTAGGCATAGATAATCGACAGGCCATTGTGACCGTTAGCAAAAGGTGAGTATGCAAAAAGCAGAAGCAATCGAGGTGTAGTAGGAGTCGTCACGGCAACACTCAGTCAAATAATCATTGCACATCGAGAAAATCACTAGAAAACAGCTTCATTCATTCACAGCATACAAAAACTAGTCAAGGTACAAGTTAACTTATTACGTAAACGGACAATGGTAGTTCAGCAAGGTAAGTCGCGACTTAGGGAGCCAATTCTATCCTATGCAAACCGGAAATGCTTGTGGTAGCGGAGAAGGAGTGCCGCGGTATGTCAAGAATAGTTATTTGGTCACAGTGACTGTCGTTCATCCACTGTGGCTCGGTGACTTAAACCATCGACTTCAGAGTGGAGGGTTGTGGATTGCAGCTCTTTACCAGGTAGAAGAAATACGCATTACTGAAGAGCCCAAACGCCGATGTGGCCGTTTAGTGCTTATCGTGGCGCACAAAGGCTGTGTAGGCTAAAAGTTTGTGCAGCAAATTTCGTTTGAAATTAATCTAAGCCCTTTATTTCACCATTCGTTAAAAATAGAAGTGCATAAAATTCCACCGAGGTTAACAAGGTTAGAAGGAGACGAAGAGTTTAAAAATGAGTGGCGTGAAACAAGTGATGCTTAAACGGAATGCTTCAGGTAACACGAAAGAAAAAGTAATTAGGTGCAAGCAATTGCATGGTTTGTACCTAGAATGACAAAGTAGAAGATTTAGGTAGACGAGTCGCCAGAAAAACGTTTACGAGTGAAAGCACGCACGTAAAGTGCAAATCAAAATGAAACTTACGCATTTGTCTAGAGCAACGAAAGTAGGCGCCACTAGGCGGTACACATTGGCCAAAAGAAAGTAAGATGTGCCACACGTATTGTCACAATAATCAGTTTTAAAAACTTACTGAACAAACTGATGGCAGCAGACGAGTATCCACGTGTTGGGACTTGCATCTACGCTGTTTTTGCAACAGGTAGCAGAACTCTTGGGAGGTAAGTGGTCAAGTGCGGCACAACCGGGCACATAAGTCGGAGAAGGTGGCCTAGAATCCAAGTATGAAGTAATCTGTGATACCGGTTTGGATATGACCGGTCGCGAACGGGAATTGGGTCGAGATGTTTTGGACACAAGGACCTGTGTCTTCTCGTGATTATATGGGAACTCGGCATCAACAGTAAAAGCGCTAGGACGACGAAAATCCTCGGTTTTTGTGGTAACATAGGCCAAAAGACGGGACCAACGGTAGCCACCCGAGTTACACCGGAGACGATGGAGAGTCGTAATCATTGGTTTTGCTTCTGTGACTGTAGAGAGAAACAAAACGGATATTGGGGAATGCTGGAAGGAGAATAAAAGCGTGGCAAGCACTGATGCAATTGTAGCTTGAATATATGAACGAGAGAGAGAGGACAGAACCACGGTAGTGGCGTTGTATCAGAATGAGGAATAGTTAAGGTACATGTCCACAAACATCAGATGAACGGGGGCAGAGCGAAACCAGTTGTCGCTTCGATAAGGTGATAAGTAGTAACCAAAAGGAGAAAAGGCAACAACAGTACACCGGTACACGCAGTACTGACGCTTCGCTGCCACGTAACCATCACCAGTCGCGCGTGTGCTAAGGATACTGCAATGGTCGTCAAGTCCCCTACACAGGCTCGGATCCGCGATCGTCGAGTTCCATACAAACGCCGTGTCCTTTCGGCAACGTGCCGGCAAAGAGAAAAAGAGTTAGAGTAGACACAAGAAAAGAATACCAAAAAATACCAAAACAGAATAGTTAGGCGAAGACACAGAACTGGCTTCTCAATCCCACTATGTCAACATAAGTTACAAACCATCGGTGTGGCCGATACAGTTCCGGTTTTAGTATACCGTAGGCCATCCACAGATCGTTCCGGAGTTCCACTCGACTAGACGTACGGCTGAGAATCAACATATGTTGGGCAGGTGACCGGAATACATGCGAAGAAGTGAGTTAACCAAAGCAAAAGGCTCACGCTCAATAGACAAGAAAAAGTGGTCATCTGGCACCTATCAAGCACCAATTGATGGGCTACACAAACACAGGTACAAGCGATACTACCAGAGCAAAGGAGGCTAATGATTCATTTTTTGTATCAATAGATCACAGAGCAATCCAAAGAAAAACGATGGTAAAATTATTATGCAAGACTTGCCAAACGATCTCCTCCAGGTGTCAGCTGGATGGATCAGGATTATTACGTTCCAGCGAATGGTTCGGTAGCGGTGTTCCAAGACGTCGTGAGTTTTTCTTCAGAAAACATACTCCCCATAACAAGACGTGGCGAATGAGAATCGCCAATAAATAAAAGCAACGTCCATTGCGTCATTCCAGTGGAGTACTGTATCCAAATAGACGACTACTGATTTCATTTGAAGGAATAAACTCATGTTTCGCCATTAACCAAATAGAAGGTATAGAAATTAAACGCTTTGTCGCCCGATTCCAATAGGTGTAACACAGATTTCGCCCCGCTACTCGGCGATTCGGAAATGCAACCAAAAACTGGGAGCCGTATCTCCTAAGACAACTAAATTCAAATCGCGCAACCGAGTACTATAGAGCTCTTTGACAAAGCCAAGGATTTTCCTGTATTGCAATAGGTTTTTCGTTAACGATAACTGAATCTACTATTATTTTCCATGACACTTGGTGAATACATTTCAATCCGCAGACTGCCAACATATATATATATATATACCTGGATAAAAAGTATTCAACTTTCACTCGTAGATTAGGCCTATTTAAATGTTGGAAGACAATTGGTGCGATGAAATTTCTTTTCGATAGTTCTCAGCAGGCTTGTACAATTATGGTGCTAATAATCAAATGAGTGTTACGCTATGTCTAGTCAGCATGCGCAAGGTAGTAGATGTCCAGAGAAGAGAAGTGCACAGGAGTTCAAATCAAAGGAAAACAGATCAATTGCTTCAAGATCGTTTTCTTCGTTTTGCAAGGTTCTTTTGTTCTGCTAAATACTCCGTGTCTGTTCTGTGTGTTAACTTCCTTTCAAATTCTGTGTTGGTTGTTTGATATACCCGGTGTGGCTGCGCTTGATGTGAATGTTGACGATGGGCCTACCTGTTTCCCAACTTCCACCTGGATTACTGGCTCTAGGAGACTGAATCGATTCCGGGGGACAGGGTGCACCGTCCTCATGACTGTGCTAAATTCAAAGAGCGGTTCCATACTGTGGGGAACGGCTACAGCCCAGACACTGCGTTGTGTACGGCTGGAACGCTCGATTACAAAAGCAGGCAGGAATGCTTCTGTTCCGCTTGTTGAAGGAGCGTGGGACGGTTCCGTTGATGAAACGTGGCCTCCATCCATATACTACCTATTACAAAGTACACACGTTAGCTGCAGGTGGAAAACATCTCAATTATTGCGCCCCAATAAAAAATAACACGACACAGATGCACGCCTGCTAAGTAAACGATAACGGGTGGACATCGTTCCTGAGAGGTAACAGCCGGCTATTGTACCGCAAACAAGGAATTATATTATGCACAATAAATGAGGTCGTGGTTGGAGGGGGAAGGACAAAGAAACACACATCATAAACGTACCTGAGGTCGGCTCTTTGCCTTGTCAACAAGTGTATCCATCCAGACGTGTTCACTGTCTATCTGTCCCCAACCAGGGAGCCGAGATTCCAATCGGAGCTAAGTTCCTCTTCACCAAATCATCGTGTGGCTACCCGTCTTCATCCATCCCCACCCCAGTGCGAGCAAACAACGCACGTCGTGGGAGTCGGTGGGGTGGCATGCGCAACTCATGGCTTAGCCATCGGAGTCTGGTATGTGAAACAACAAAGCTGAGCGGTTCATTTCCTTTTCCTGTACAGTACACAAGGCGTTGAACACGCTCATTGCTCATACAGTGTTCCCACCAGATATGAGTCAAACTGTGAAGGCACCGGTTGTCAAACGTAACTCGCCTCTTTATGTCGGCAGATCTAATGGGCCATGTTTCACAACCGTACAGTAGAGTCGAAGGTACGGTTGCATTGTACACTCTACGCTTCAAGGATACAGCGATGTAACGCCGGCACCTTAGGTGGCGAAGAGTAAAAAACGCCGCGTGCTTGTGCTATACGGTTTGTGACTCAGTCTTCAATTCCAACGACCAAGGTAGACGAATTTTTGAACGACTACTAGCTGATCCTCAAAAAGTGTAAGCGCAGGAGACGATCCATGTCGACCTTGGAAGAAAGTTTTGCAATTCCGGGGTGCAAAGCATAGTCCGAAACGGCTGACAGCCAGCGCTAATCTGTTCAGTGCCGCTTGGCAAGCATGTGAGCTGTCACCTATGAGAGCAATGGCGTCAGCACACTCCAAGCCAAGAAGTCGATCACCTGCGATCAAATCCACACCTAAGTCATGTCCTGTGAACACGATCTTCATGACTTCGTCAAAAGCAAAGTTGAAGAGGAAAGGTGACAGCGGGCATCCTCGTCTTACACCGCTGGAGATATTGAAGGGCGACGACAACTTGCAGAAAGCCCTCACTCTACTCGAGCTACGCGCGTAGAACGCTAGCATAATATTTACATACATCTCGGGAACACTATTCCATAGCAGACGGTCTCAAATGACACATCAATCAAGCGAATAAAAGGCACCTTTGATGTCGAGGAGCAGGACTACGGTAGGCCGCCACCAAATGTGACGGTGCTTCAACAGCTGACCCAAAGTGAAGATGAGATCAATGCATTCCAGACCATAACGAAACCCGGCTTGCTTCTTACAACGCTGGATTTCACCACCATGTAGTCTGTGAAGGATTACAGGGGCGATGGAGATCAGACTGATTCCTCAATGGTTACCGCATTCTGAACGCAAGCCTACTTTGGAGATCGGGACAAAAGCGGAGCCAATCCAGTCGCGTGGGGCAGTTTTGTATTCCCACAGTTCCATTAGTAGATCATGTAAATCCTCAGCAAGAGCAGGGACTCGAATTTGATGAGTGCTTGGTGAAGATAACTTGGGACCGAGGTTTAATTCAACTTCAACAGTGCGATCTCACATCCGACTTCTGAGCGAGAGGGCGGATCCAAACGGAACAGCCCGGGGAGCAAAGTGATCATTGGCCGGTGAAGAAGCTAACAATTTCGGTCGATTAAATTGCTTTTCAAAATGCTCAACTTAACGCTCCAAACGTTTCGGCAAGTTGTGGATAGGCTGTCCACTCTCGTCACGTATGGTTTCACTAACACCAAGTCTCCCGATGCCCGTTTCCAATATCATAAGGAAGCACTTCCGATGGTTACCAAGGAGAGAAGCCACTTCCATTTCTCACGCACGATGAGACCAACACGTTTCACGGTATCTCTTCAAAATAGCACGCAGTTTTCAACTGGTGTCTTTGCGAGTCTCGTTGTGCTGGCTTCCAGCTGGATAGTGTCGGCAAGCATCGAAGAGTTCCAGAGAATGTAAAGAGACCCAATGTCCATGTTGGCGATTAGACTAATCACATGAGGATTTCCTTGCCGCTAGGTTTGGTGAAGATGCGACCAGTGACTTACAACCGTATTCAGTGAGTGCTTGCTCAACCCGAACGTAGCGTAATTCAAAACTCATTAAGAACACCTAGCTTTGACAATTGGCTGCTGTCTATGCGCTCACAAGGTCGCCGAGGACGACCGCAAAAACGCACCCGCAGATCAGCACATACAAGTGCATTGTCAGTGTCCACACCTGTGCTCCAAAAAAAGCAACAGTTTAGGACGCAGCCTCTTCAGCGGTAACTAATCGCAATGTGATTGATTTGTGTCCAAGGCTGGTTCGATGCTGGTGGGCGCCATGCCACTTACCGCAAGAAATAAGCGAGTGCCTTCACACAAATGAAGTAACCGCTCAACGTTATCATTGCGGAAGCGTACACCATGTTGGCCACCCAGATAAAGTTCATCAGTGGACAATTTCCCAACTTGAGCGTCCAAATACCCAGCCGGCACTACAGTGTCCGAACTCCTTCAGTGGCGAAAGAGTTCGTTTGATTGATGATAGCATTCATCTTTCACCGAATAATCGATACAGTTTGGGGAGCGTAGGCAACGATGATAAGCAGACAACCGTTAGTCCCGCGCCTTGAACGAGCCCGCCCGTCGGTCCGCACACATTCGGCTACTGGTTGGGATCCAATCAACCAGAGCAGATGCGGTCCGGGGACTCCGAATAATACCAATGCCGGATTGGCCGGTACTCAAAGTTGCATCGTCTCCGGATAGGTGCAATGAGAACGCACTGCTAGTGTCACCTGGAGAGGATCGCAGAG